CACACTAACACACACACATATTATGCTTGGTCTAGTTACCTCTTTGGTCTGAAAATCTCTGCAAAAAAAAATGTTCAAAACATGAAAACTCCAATTAGGATATTATTATATTTATTCTAGCTAGTATTGAATCATCTTCACTTCCAAACTTTATTATATATTTAGCTTATTTATACAAAAAAATATAAAAAGAAGAGTAAGATTAAGATACGTACTGGCGTCGGCTTTGATCGGGAAATAAAGCACTGAAAAAAAAAAAACAATAACCAACAATGTAGAAAATGTTATGAACAACAAAAAGTTGATGATCAAAGGAGATTTTGATCAGTTTAATTACTTCTCTCGTTCTTGGTCAGGAAGATTGATAAATCTTGTGAAAACGTCTTCGATCCTAACCAACGTTTAACAAATATATACGTCAATCAAATGTATGTTTTTGGATAATATTTATTTACAGAATTAGCCATACATAAAATGTGAAAAGAATAAGAAACCTTGTTTTGCCGGAAAAGAGGCTAAGACGATCGGAAGGAGAGAACATGAGAAGAGCAATGTCGATGTCGCAAAGAATGGACAATTCATAAGCTTTCTTTATCAAACCATTTCGTCTTTTCGAAAATGTAACTTGTCGATTCGTATTGTTCTCTATTCGCTTTATCTCCAATTTCACTCGACCCATTGTCTCTCTATAATCCGATCAATGCAACCAACAAATTTAAAGATTCTTCTCTCTTTTTTTTTAAGGACTGCAAAAAATTCTGATAATTGGAGGTAACAAGTGTGTATATATATGAACAATGTATGGACGAGAGAAAATAACGAAGCATGAAAAAAGGAGAGGTTAGGTGTAAGATAAGAGATTTGGTTAGAAATGTATGGGAGATATATTGAAGGGTTTTTTGTTCTTTGAACGAATTAAGAATGATTGTATATTTTACCACGGAAAATTCATATAAGAGTATATAAAATCGAATTATGTATTAATTCCTCCAACTCCGCGTATACAAAACAATACTCAAAATTCACAAGATTATTCACATTTGGATCAATTATTTTGTCAATAACTAGAGAAACAAAATATTTAACCAAGTTTTCCTTTATACTACAAAGCACAAACAAAACGCTGCGTTTTTACAAGTCTTATTGCTTACTTATTGGGCTTTATTCAATAAAGGCCCAAAATACAAATTAATCCACGAAAACCCATTTCTTTGTGCAAACTAAACGCTGCGTTTTCATTTTCGTCGGCTTTATCCGTTAGGTTACAGTGTCACTGAAGCTTCTCCTCTCCTTCAGCTCCGGTGGGTGTTCATCTTCTCCGACGAGCCACTCCGATCAATAACCAGAAGTTGCAGAATATCAAGACCCATCTTTAAGAATCGTTTCGTCCTCTAAGAGATGAGCGTGTGATAGGCATGAACACCCTTTCCCTCAATTCACTCATACCGACGGCAATTCACCTCAGAATCTCACGCGCCGCCTCGCCGTGCGCTTTACGTGCCACCTCGTCGGAAAACTCACAGTCGTCAATCGAAAACCAAACTCTAGAGGTCCTAGAATGGAGCTCCCTCTGCAATCAGCTCTCTCCCTTCGCCTCAACAACGATGGGACTTTCCGCCACCAAAAACGCCGATATTCCGGTGGGAAACTCGCCGGAGGAGAGCAAGACCTTACTCGACGAGACGGCGGCTGCTTTGGCGGCTATGGAGACGATGGAATCGCGTCGCTTAGGTCTTTCTGAGATCATAGACTTGTCTCAAATCGTGGAGCGTGCCATGGCTGGTCAAGTCCTCACCGTTAGAGAGCTCTGCTCCGTTCGCACCACGTTAATGGCTTCTACTTCAACGTTTCGTAAACTTAGAGAAGCAGCCAATAATGATAACAGGTATTATGCTTCCATTGAGAGCATTGTTTGTGAGTGAGAAGCTTCATGGCTCTAACTTTTAATGTTGTAGGGTTAAGCCTCTTGTAGGGATACTTGAAGGTTGTGATTTCAAGAAAACATTGGAACAAAAGATTGGTTTTTGTATAGACTGTAACATGTCTATGATTCTTGATAGAGCTAGTGATGATTTAGAGATGATAAGATCTGAAAGGAAGAGAAACATGGAGAGATTGGGTTCTCTTTTGAAGCAAGTGTCGATTAGGATTTTTCAGGCCGGGGGAATCGATAAGCCGTTGATAACGCAGCGGAGATCGAGGATGTGTGTAGCTATTAGAGCTTCACACAAAAGTTTGCTTCCAGGTGGTGTTGTTTTAAGTGTTAGTAGCTCAAGAGTAACATGTTTTATGGAACCGAAAGAGGCAATAGAGCTTAATAACATGGAAGTGAGGCATGCAAACTCCGAGAAAGCTGAGGAAATGGCGATTTTGAGTATTTTAACATCTGAAGTGTCGGATGCGCAAAGGGCGATATTGCATTTGTTGGATAGAATACTAGAACTTGACATTGCTTTTGCAAGAGCATCGCATGCGAAATGGATGAATGGTGTATGTCCCAAAGTAACTTCAGAAAACACTAAAACACTGGAGTTGGGTGAAGAAGACCATAAATCTTTAGTTGTAGACATTGATTCAGCGCAACACCCGCTACTTCTTGGATCCGTATTAGGCAGCTCAAAAGGTGGAGACATTTTCCCTGTGCCAATAGACATTAAGGTTGAAAGTGGAACCAAAGTCGTCGTCATCTCTGGTCCAAACACAGGAGGAAAGACCGCTTTATTAAAGACATTGGGATTAATATCTCTTATGTCGAAGTCGGGGATGTATTTGCCTGCTAAAAATTCCCCAAGGTTGCCTTGGTTTGATCTTATTCTGGCTGACATTGGGGATCCCCAGGTATTACTTTATGAATTCCCTGCAAATTACAGAGTTACTAACGTTTTGATTATCTTCTTGCTGATCGATTTGTTTTTAACTTTACAAACTTTTATTTGCAGTCTTTGGAGCAAAATCTCTCAACTTTCAGTGGCCACATCTCACGGATATGTCAGATACTTGACATTGTTTCAGAAAATTCGCTTGTCCTGCTAGACGAAATCTGTAGTGGAACTGATCCTTCAGAAGGTGTTGCACTTGCGACTAGTATCCTACAGTATATTAAAAATCGTGTTAATGTTGCTGTTGTATCCACACATTACGGTGACTTAACTCGCTTGAAGGATAATGAATCTCAATTCCAAAATGCTGCAATGGAGTTCTGCATCGAAACATTGCAGCCTACATTCCGAGTACTCTGGGGAAGTACTGGTGAATCAAATGCATTGAGAGTAGCTAAGTCGATTGGTTTCAATAGAAGAATATTAGAGAAAGCACATAAATGGACGGACAAATTAAAGCCAGAGCAGGAAGTAGAGCGGAAAGGCTCACTCTTTCAATCCCTCGTGGAAGAAAGGAATAAGTTAAATCGTCAGGCGACCAAGACTGCAGCTTTTCATAGAGACTTAATGAACCTTTACCGCGAGGTATTGCATTTTTCTCTTTCGCTTTTGCATGTGTGACCTCTGCATGTAGTAGTTATAAAAACTGTCCTTCAGAAATCCTTTCTTTCCTTGATGAGCTGAATCACATTGTTTTTGTGTATGTTTCTATTCCTGAAGCTTGAGCATGAGTCGCATGATCTTGGCAAACGTGAGAAGGCTCTTATGAAGAAAGAAACTCAAAAGGTACAAGAAGATCTAAACTCTGCTAAGTCGAAGATGCAGAAACTAGTGGCTGAATTCGAAAGTCAACTAGAAACCACTCAGGCTGATCAATACAATACCTTAATTCTGAAAACCGAAGAGGCGGTTGCAGATATTATTGAAGCTTGCTGTCCTAACAATCTTGTTGCATCTGCGGAAGAAGCGTATGGTGACTACTCGCCACAAGCAGGTGAAAAGGTTCTTGTGAGTGGACTAGGAGATAAGTTAGGTACCGTGGTTGAAGAACCTGGAGATGATGATGAGACAGTTCTAGTCCAGCATGGTAAGATAAGGGTGCGCATAAAGAGAAAGGACATAAAGCCTCTTCCTCGTAGCAGAACCAGTGAAACACCTAATCGTTCACTACTTTCAAAGAGACAGGTATACACCTGAAAGAAGCTCAAAGCACCCTACTTGAACTGCGATATTGAAAGATTGTGATCCAATACTAATATGTTTGATTTGAGTTGCAATAACATGAGTTCCTATGGTAACATGACACAGATAAACATAAAAGAGCTAGGCAGTGTGTTGCAGATGCAGAGCGAACCAGTGCGGGTTCAGACATCAAAGAACACATTGGATCTAAGAGGAATGCGAGCAGAAGAAGCAATTCACCAGCTAGACATGGCTATATCAGGAAGAGACTCAGGTTCAATCCTCTTTATCATTCATGGAATGGGGACGGGCGTTATAAAGGAGCTAGTGCTTGAGAGGTTAAGGAAACACAGTCGTGTCTCGAGGTACGAGCAGGCAAATCCAATGAACCATGGTTGTACAGTTGCTTACATTAAATGACATTTCTCAAACACCACCTTCTCTGTAAATCTTCTTGAAAAGTATGTTATTAATAGTGCAGCTACATGATGAACATGGACATTGGCATGTTTATAAGTT